ATAACAATATATGCTGCAAGGGTTTTTGGGAGAAAACCCTATTCACGTAGGGGTAATTTAAGAGGAAAAACAGAGATACATAGAGAGGGTTGTATACACTTCAATGTGTATATTCTTGTGTAGTCTGCAAGGGTTAAAATAAAACATTATTCACGTAGTATTAATCTATGAAGCTAAGGAGGAAGAACAGAGGAATGGAACAATGGTCAGAGGTGGGAGCAGTATAAGAGAATTCTGAAACTTAGAGACGATGCGGCTGTAAGGTTTCAAAACGAAATCTAAAGGCAAGTTTCATTCTCTCCTTCCTGTAAACTTGTGTTCTGTGCATTCTAAATAGACTCCAGGAATTTAATTAAAACCTTTAAAACAAATTTTATGCATATTAGTTTAGTCTGAAATTTGGTTAACGTATAATAACTGAAGATGGCTTTCCTTGCATAAATTGTTAGATTATGTATTAAATCTCTGTAAATTAATTCATAATGCAATGAGAGGTGTTGTTAGGATGGTTAGGAAGTTAATTAACCTTTATAATGGAATTTTGACACATGTGATCAGACTTTAGATTGTTCATATGTTCAGTAAACTGTGAATGGCGTTTTTGGATACGGTTTTGTTTTGTTTTAGATTTTTGTCAATTAATGCATGCTGGATGCTGAGAAGTTTCTAGGGCTTTAAGAATTTAAATTGAACCCTAGGAATGTTAAAATACTTGGGACAGGAACGTCGGACTTCGCCGGAAACGTAGAAAAATCATCGGACGAAGTAGAGACGAGGCAGAGGGGCTCTCAGGGGTGAGAGCCGGCTCCTAAATGGTGGGAGCCGGCTCCCATGAAGAGAGAGCCGGCTCTCCATAAGGGAGAGCCGGCTCTAGAAGCCTAGGAGCCGGCTCCAATAAAGGGGAGCCGGCTCCCATGGGAAAAAACCTCTACGGGGTGTTTTCTGCAATTTTTTCAGAGTTCTGGGGTTAAATGCAAATACTGAAAATTAAAGGGGGTTTCAAATATGTTAAAATTAACCTATTAAGACCCTTAAATAGTTGGTTTAAGCTAGGATGCTAATCTTAAGGGGCATCAGGAAACAGAAACATGGAATAGGCATGCTGTCAAGGAAGGATGAATGTTTAAGTTAATAAGTTTGTTTTAATAACTTAAACTGACTGGTATCGAATTACTTTTGGGATGTTATATAAATTATTTATATACTTTAATGGAGGCCAGAAAGTTCGGTGTAGGATATGGGCATAGACAGTATTAACTTAGATATTAAATGGTATACTGTCAGGAGTGGTAGGAATTTTAGTTGCTAGTTTTGGTTTAGCGAACTAAATGGACTAGTATGGGAATACTGTTGGGGTTTCATATAATGAGCAATTTGGAATTCAGAGTGTCATATTATATCAAGCACAGGTTTTGAGTGGAGGATCAAAGGGACGTCATGTGGTGTAAACGCTAACTTTCATGCTGTTAAGGATTTATGGAGGATTTCATTACTTGTCTTTGTTTTGGCAATTTAAATAATATGGTATGAGAGGATGGTTTGGGATATCTAGTATAATGTATTTAGTTTATATTTCTGGCTGATCATTATAACAGATTATGGATGTTAATTGATGAACTGTTTAACTTCTGTTTTATCAATTGTATGGATGTGGATAATATAAATTGGTTATCAATACTTTAACAATTTATTTGGAGGATTAATGATTATAATCACATACTGGATGCATAATAGGATTTTAATAATATCTGTTTTCTATTATGCTGGTTTCTGGATTTATTTGATATTCTAATGAATGTGCATCGTTTATGGATCATTTGCATTATATGTACCGGTATGGGACGATGACATATCAAGGATGGATTAGATCAAAAAGCTAAGTCCTACCCCTTCTTACATACGGAATGGATTAACTAAAATAGTTAACTCCTACATGGATACATGTCCTGTCAACTAAAACAGTTGAATGACATAATGGATGCTTGTTTTATCTTTCGGTATTAGGAAGGAATTTATATATATATTTATGGTACTATGATACGAGCTTGAGTCTCCTGATCACGGCTAGGGTGCGTATATTGCAAAGGTTGAGTAGCTAGATATAGCTAATGTTCCCTGGTGGGTCTAGGTACTTGGCCGCTGAAAAGCGTGTTTTATATGTCACCTTCTACCCAGGCTGAACTATGTTACAGGCTAGTGACCATCCTATAGTGTGTATATATATATCTATGGACTATTGTAGATATTGCCGAGCTATCTAAGATGTATCTGCGTATCGGGTTTATGTACGGATTGTAGTAGGATGGAACTTGCATGTGGGCCTGACCCACCTTTATTTTTCAGGTGTTCGTGAGTACCAGGCTTAGGGTTTGATCGTGGTGATGCAGATACAGTCACTCACTCTTCCGACTACATAGGATTTTCTTTCTTATTTTGGTTTTGGATTTTAATTCTGTAAATATTTTACCAGTTGGAAATATTAGGGGTCCACTAGATGGATTCCCAAGTTGTACAGATTGAAAAGTTTATTTAATCAAACCAATCCACTTTTCGGTCCTTAAGTATATACCTTGTTTAATTAATATTTTTTAAAAAACAAAAACAATACATATTAAAAATTTTCAAATTAAAATTTTATTTCTTTGTGCTTACCTTTTACTTTTATATTTTTTATTATAACTTGTGTGTCATGACCTGCCAAACCACTTTTTATAGTACCATTGCTCTTGGTCTTGCTACTGGCTCATAAAAAACAATTTCATAATTCATTTTTAGTAAATTAAATCTTTTAAAATAGGGATTCTCGAGAGGAAAACCTCTACTGAAAGTTATTTTGTAAGTATATGTAACATTGATTTTCTCTATGACACATGTGGATAAAGGACTAGAAAATAAACTTATTTCCTTGCAAAAGGTCAAAAAAATTGGTTGGAAGATGGAATAAGAATGAAACCATAAATAAATATTTCGGCTTTTAAGGCACGTATCACGTGAATTACAAAGTGACAATCTAAGCAAAATTACTGGAAATTTGCTCGAAGTTTCCATTTAACAAACATGCACGATAATTTAATTAAATAATTAAATAATAAATTTAAAAAATACAATAAAATCATTAAAAAAATACACGGACCTTTTAAAATTAAAAGTATTACACCAACCATCACAATTTTTTACCTTGATTTCTTTGTTTTTGCCGCGCTGGACCCAATTGAAAGTTTATCACATTACTCCATCATAAAAAATCCTTCCGGTCTTTGGGCTTTGCGCAGAACTTGAGAGGAACAAATAAACTCATTTTCGATATATGCAGTTCTAGTGTGCCTGCTTCAAGACCCAACTGATTACTCCGTCGTTGCCGGATTGAAGGACCTTGAAATGCCGCGAAAGTACAGAGCTGCACATACACTGTTCCGGTGAGTTTCAGTTACCTAACAAACAGAACAGCTTCAGCGACCCAACCAGCGAAGAGCAAGCTTCAGTGAGCTTATTCGAAACCTCGTCAGAAAGCTTGCTAAATCAATTTGAAGACCCAATTGGCACAGAGCTTCAAGGCATGAAGACCATTTAAACTGAAAATCCACAGTGACCAGGGTCAAGCTTCAGCAAACAAACCGGTGTGCTTCAGTTCAAGTGAAATTCCAGAGTTTTCTAGTACCAGCAAGATCACTAACAACAATTATGGTGACCAGCTACAACACACACAATCAATCCTCTGACCTCGTTGCTACGAACTGCCTGCGCAATCGATCATTTCCTTCATAAACACACGGCATATCGCTGCCGGAATCGATGGACACCATGGTCTTTGGAATCCATGGAGCCCATAGTCGCACCGCCTCAATCACCGCTACGGGGCAGATTGTTACTGCTGCTACAAATGATTCGACGTTGTCCAGTTGAGAAATTAGTTGTTCTTCAAATGTTTTTTCTCTTTTGGTCCAAAACGGTTTCGACGGCGGGGTAGGTGGGTGTGAAATGGGGGCGGCTATGACGGGTTTAATATTGAGGTGGTGGTAACAACAAGGAGGTAGTTTTGAGGAGAGAGAAAAATGAAGGGCTTAGGGTTTCAAGAATTTAGGATTTAACTGTTTAAGGTCTTTGTTGGTGATTGTAGAAAGTCTGGTCTTGGGGTAAACTTGACAACCTGTTAGATTAATATAATAATAAAGGATATTTTAGTACTTTTACATGAATTTTTCACAAAACCTAACTCCAACAATATTGAAGGGAGGTCGGTGTAATATTGAAAATCATAAGGGTACTATCTGTAATTAAGCCTAAACTCAGGAGAGGTAAGTGATATTATTCCCAGGTAATTTTTATATAAAAGGTATACATTTATAAAAGGACAAAATAAAATTTATTATTTATATGACTTTATTGAAATAAAAATAAAATTTATTATTTATATGACTTATTAACAAATAAGTGTTTAGAAAGGGAGCACTTGTTTGTTAATGGTTCGTCGTATCGTTCGATATGCGACTTTTTTTTAAATCTAATACACGATTTGTAACGGTTAATTTATATTGATTTTGTTTGAATCTTTTACACCGCAATCGCAAGCAATACCGCAATTGTGATCAATACTGCAACCCATTTATTAGTAAAAATTTTTACATGTGTTCTTTTATAGTGATACATATAATTATAATAATAAGTTCCTATAGTATTTTCTAATGATAAGAGGATATAAATATGAGATTAATATATAAGTAGCACAATGCTACTTTATTTCATAATGGTTTAACGATATAAATTAAAATATAAGAAGTAATTTCAAATGCTTGACACCATTAAATATACAAAAATGAGATGATTTGAATAAACCCTTTTGTCGAGAAGAAATATATCTAATTAAAATACCATTCCTAGAGATTGATGCAATGACGCACTGTGCACTGACGCACTGTGCATATGTGATTGGTATGCCCCCCAACTTTTTACTCCAGGGTGTGCGAAAAGGGAATTTTTGTTTGGACACCATCAAAAGGAAACAGACCTATCCAGAAACATTTCACTCCCCTTTCTGGCCCCAGAATCACACTCCACTCTCTCACTCCCTCACTCTCTAATGTCCTTCTATCTTCTCTCCTCTCTCTCAAGACTTCCAACTCCCCTCGCCCTACGGTAATTCTTTGCCTGGAGCTCTGGAATATATACACATTTATATATACACACTCTGTGGCGGTTATTCTAGCGGTTAGGGTATTCTTGGATCCTATTACGGGTACCCACCTCGTCTGGCATATTCGTCAATCAAGGAGAGGTAGGTTAGTTCTCTGTTTCAATATTGTTCTGGGTCATGAATTTTCTTATTTGGGTATTGATTTTGTTATGTTCAAACCCTAGGCTTTCGAACGCATGTTTTAGGGTTTATATCGCTTTGTTTAAACCCTAGCCTTTGGAACGCATGCTTTAGGGTTTGTATCGCTTTAAATTCTCATGGTTGTTAGTCTGTGATTCTATTGATCTCTAGGGTTTTTTGTTGGTCTGATTTTATGAACAGTTACTTGGGAACAGAGCGATTTTCTTCACTGAGTTGTGAACTTTTCATGGCTTTCTTCAAACCCTAGGCTTTGGAACGCATGTTTTAGGGTTTCTATCGCTTTAAATTCTCATGGTTGTTACTATGTGATTCTATTGCTCTCTAGGGTTTTTTGTTGGCCTGATTTTATGAACAGTTGTTTGGGAACAGAGCGATTTTCTTCACTTTGTTTTGAACTTTTTATGGCTTTGCTCAAAACCAGGCTTTTGGAACGCAAGTTTTATGGTTTTTATCGCTTTAAATTCTCATGGTTGTTACTCTGTGATTCTATTGCTCTCTAGGGTTTTTTGTTGGTCTGATTTTATGAACAGTTGTTTGGGAACCGAGCGATTTTCTTCACAGAGTTGTGAATTCTTCATGATACTGAACTTTAGTTTTTGGAGTCAAAAAATCAGATGTGTGTGCCCTCATTGTAACATTTTTCTGCAAAAAATTACAAGTGCTGAGGAACTGTGGTTAAAATGACTCTAATTAGCTGCAGGTTCAGTAATTCTCAGTATAGATATTGCACCTCCTTTAGTAAAGGTGAAATATATAATCTTTCTTTTTGCTTCTTCACACACACACGCGCGCGCGCACACACACACACACACATATATATATTTTTGTCTTTTCTTCTCTCTATAAACATTGCACCTCCTTTAATTCATTTCAGTTTGCTTAGATACCCAATAGCTAATTTTCAGTTTAATTGTTTGGACTTCCATATTTTTCTTTTCTTCTCCAGATTATAAGTGCCCTATAAATAAAGTCACATGCTTGTTTTCAAAGTGTTACTTAATACTGAATGAAACAATTGCTTGCTTGACAAAAATAGAATACAATTTGATAGTACAAATTCTTGTCTTGTGAAACTTACTCTATCCAACTCTTAACTTGTTCCATCTCCCTTGATATTCCTTCAGGTTATTGTAGAACAATCAGTTATAGGGTTCCATCCCAGCTGAAATTGGGAAGCTTTCAGAAATCCAAACTCTTGACCTTTCAGGTAATCAGCTCATTGGTGAAATTCCAACCTTTTTGGGTTACCTCACACACTTGAGTTACTTGTGCCTGTGACTTATATTTCAACTGGTGCTCCTATTGGTTTAACATTTGGTTCACTTTTTTTGTTTTGTGTTTTAATTTAGAATCATATTTTCTTACGACTTACAATTATTACTTAATTACAATTCTTATTTGATGAGAAATTAGCAGTCAGATTTCTTTGCTTCTGTCAGCCACTTAAAATTCATTGCGCTGGCAAAATGTACATCAGGTGCTCTGGCCTTGGAAATATGGTAATTCTGTTTGCTCGTCCTACACAAATTTTCTTTTTACATGCAAATCTTCCTTCTTGCATTGGAGGTATAAAATGTCACAATTTTGGATGTCTCTGTAGTGAACCCATAGATTTTTTTGTATTGTATTACTAATTGCAATACTTGATAGGGTTGTGTTGGGTAATTGTACTATTGAACTTGTTTCGTGTGCTTTTTTGTGTAACATAAGAAGAAACTGATTGAAAATGTACATCATCCTATTATTTTCTAAGATGTATTATTCTGTCTCAGGGTGGCATCAAAATTGTTTCGAACATGGCTGGCGTGAGAGGTTTGATGTTGCCATAGCCAATGGTGCACGTTGAGATGAAGAAGAAAGTAGAGAGTGTTGACAACTTGGTGGCTCTTGAGGCCGGAGAAATTAAGCCATATTTGAATTACTAAGATTATTGTTGGATTAATTCCACCAATTCTTGGCACTCTATTTTACACGGGAATACTGTAAGTTCTCCCACATTTGACTTACTGAGATGCTTGCTGTCTCCTCATGTTCACTCACACTTTTGTTTCCTGCACCAGGTACCTGCATGGCAACAAACTTACTGCATGGCAACACACTTTTGACTTGGTGGGTCTTGAGGCCGGAAAAATTAAGCCATAGTTGAATTACTAAGACGATTGTTGGATCAATTCCACTAATTCTTAGCAATCTATTTTACACGGGAAAACTGTAAGTTATCCCACATTTGACTTACTAAGATGATTGTTGTCTCCTCATTTTGTTCACTCACACTTTTGTTTCCTGCACCAGGTACCTGCATGGCAACAAACTTATTGGACCTATTCCGCTAGAGTTTGGCAATATGTTGAAGCTTAGCAATTTGTGAGATACTTCCCGTCACTTTTAGGTTGCAACATTCAGTATTTGTTTGGGTTCAGTTGACAAGTCTATCTAAAGGCATGTTTCCAATTACGTAGGTTAGTTCTTCTATCTCTATAATTTGTGGAAAATTTACAAATCTGGTCCTCTCTTTCTCCTGTTTGGTTTATTGACTAGAATGATTTGTTGTGAAATTTAGAAATCAAAATCGAAATTATTGTTAAAACTGTTTTGTTGGCTTTTGTCATGAACATGTGCATTGTTGCATATTTACCTTGGCAGAACCATGGCTCTCTCATAAACATTTACATTTTGCAAAGTTATTTGGCTTTTAATCAACAAATATCTCAGAGTATGACTATCTAAAGAATCTACCAGTTAAGCTATCTGGTACCTTTTTGGCTTTGAAATTTAGCTCCTAAGTGTTCTGATATTGTTTTGGTTGGGTTGGAATGGAGCGATCAGCATGTGTGTAGACTTTAGCAATAGCATGACATCATATTCTCATATTAGGGTTATAATCAAACGGGGGACATTTATTTGCGTAGTGAAGAATTTGTTAGAATTTGACCGAGAATCTATCAGCAAGCAGGTTTTTCATTCAATAGAATTTGATAGCTTCTAGCCTTCTAGAAATGAATAAAAATTATATAAAGAAAACCTAAAATAATTTTATTCCACAAGCTAGTATATGAACACATTCTGTTGTGTGTGTGCATTTCTACAACATGCAAAAAGGATATTTACTGCGTGGTTATTTACAGGGATTTTTTAATGGGGTAAATAAGGATTACTATTTACCGCATCCCTTGTTACCACATGCAATTTAACCTTGTAAAAGGTACTCACAAGGTTTTTTATACCTTGCAAATATTTATTTTGCTTGTAGTGTTGGTTGTAATAGAAGGTAAGAGATGGAGAGAGCGACCAAAAATAACATGGAATGAGGTTATTAAAAATGACTTTAAAAAGTCAAAATATAGTACTAGGTGAAATGGCATGTAATAGAAAATGTAGACAGAGAATTCATGTGGCCAACCCCATTCATATGGGATTAAGGCAAGGATGATGACGACAACAACCTAGTTCTTGGTTTCCTATCTCCTTTCTCTTTCTTTATTGTCCTTCTAGTGCATACTTTTAGAACTATCAACCTATGTTGTGTGACCTTGAGTTCTAGTCTTTGTTGTCTCACTATCTATTCTTTTAGTTAGACAAATCAATTTGGCTTCATGCTTTTGTTTAATTCACTTTTAAATGTTAACAACTGTTTGCCTCTATTTGTATTTTTATTTTTATCTATAAATAGGTTTTATGTAAGATCATATGCCACTGGAAAATGTAGGACAATCTCTCTAACACAGTCCCGTCACTGATAATTTCTCCTTCTGGCAGTCTTGTATTAGTTCATTCATTGGATCCCAAATTTGTGCTTCAATGTATACGCATAGTCCTACTACGATTACGCAATTGCAAATCCTTATTTTTGTCTGTCTTCTCCTGGCAATAGAATTTATGTCATGTATTTTTAATTTCACTTCTCTTATACCCACTTAATATTTTGTAGGTATGGTATATTAACCTTTCTTCTAATTACCGTATCTACCAGCTCCATCTCTCAACATGTTAATGTTCCTATAATACCACTCCTATAACTGGGTCATGTAGCTGATATTATTAATACATAAGTGGGGTACCCAGTAAATTACATGTAATGAAATAAAGACATAATGTCATAAAATTTGGTGCTATATGTAAGAATAATACTCCAACCATAAGTAAGAAAAAAGGATGAGGGTTGCATTAGGTAGCCGATAGCCAGCATAAAACCCTCGTACCCATGAACACAACTTCCTTCCAGAAGTAGTCAAGAATGCTAGGGCATCCACTACAAGTGGTTATTGCATCAACTCCTGTGTTGCAGCAAAAGGTGCCACGTGAATCTATAAAAAGTGAGGAAGGGTTCCTGTGTTACTTTGATGAGCAAAGACAAATAAGCAGGTCTAAATATACTTCGCTTAAAATAGCATTTATTATGCCGTCTTCTTTATATATAATTAGTCAGAGAATTCCTGTTGAGTTTCTAGTTCTAGTTTTATGCTGGCTATTAGCTACCTAGTGCAACCCTCATTCTTTTTTTTCTTACATAGCACCAAACTTTGTGACATGATGTCTTTTTACTAGGTATAATTTATTGGGTACCCCACTTCTGTAATAACGTTTAAACTGTTCTAACCGAAGTGAAAACATCGCAAAAGCCCACAATGACAAAGTGTAGCAGAAGCTCACAACGTCCTCATACAACGCCATGTTCAACCTGCACAAATAATCCAAATTCCTTTTTTAGTTTTGCATTGCCCTTCCCATTTTCTACGGTAATCCCATCAAATCTCTCCCCCCCTCTCTCCCTCTCTCTCTCCTTCCTTCACTATGGTGGATTGCCACATTCTCGTTCTAACTTCTCTGGGCAAGGCCACATCAATCCATCATTCCAATTTGCCAAGAACCTCATAGGAATGGGTGTTAAGGTCACCATTCTCACAAGTCTCTGCGCCACCAAATCCAATAGCTGAATACCAAAAGGCTTACCCTTATCTGCCTTCTCCAATGGCTATGATGGCAGAACTCACAGCCACGAATATTTCCGGTCTCAGTACAAAAGTTGGGGTTCCAAAGCCATGGCAGAACTCATCAAGGCCGTGATGAAGAAGGTTGCCCAATAACTTGTTTGGCATACACTATGGTTCAAACATTGGCTGCTGAAGTTGCTCGTGCCCATCACATCCCATCCGCACTTCTATATATGGACTCAACCAGCCATGGTTTTCGATATCTACTACTATCACTTCAATGGTTATGGCGATGCCATTAGAAAAATTGTCAATGACCCTTCAATGGCTAGGCGTTTGTGGACGGACTTGGAGATGGTCATTACCTGCTAGGAGTGAATCTCATTCATGAAAATGATAACGGTGTATTTGAAGAATTGATAATGATTTTGGTTGTAACACAGTCTAGTACTTGGTACGTCAAATTCAGCATAGGCAATAAAATTATTAGTTTATGATGAGAATATGACTTCTTTCCTACTTTTCTTCTTCCAAATGCTTCTTTCTTTCCTGATCTATATTACTGTCAACTCTCTTTTGTTTTAACATGTGGCTTTCTGTTTTTGTGGACAAACAATTGAATCAAATCATTTTGGAAGTCGAAATGGGTGGTATGGGTCAAGAGATTATATGAGCATAAACAGAAAAGTAAAATTAATGATAGAAATTTTACAAAGGTCAGCCTAACAATTGATTAATTAAAAATTCAATGATTTATTGAACACACACTCTTGTCGAATATAAAAAATTCTCTGTGCAGGGCTTGTTATTGACTCAAATCACAAATTTAATGTGACTCACATATATTAAAATTCATACCAAACTGTCTCTCCTAGCTATCTAGCTACCATTCTTCTAATATTGTTGCTATATGAGGACGGCTCATATCATCACTTTCCGCTGCTTTGCTAATTTTTGGCGTCCTTTTCCTATCACCCCCATTGCCAAAGTTTATTCTTACGTAACACCAAATTTTATGACACCAAATTTTATGACATTATGTCTTTATTTCATTACATGTAATTTACTGGGTACCCCACTTATGTATTAATAATATCAGCTACATGACCCAGTTATAGGAGTACATTTTTTTATGCTGTCTTCTTTGTATATAATTATATTTTTATACATTTTTTTGGTTTGAAAAACATGTTCATAAGTGGTTCCTCTCTTTTTTTTCTCTCCCCTTGAGATGCCCCATCCCTTCTCTGTACTTTATGTAATACCCCGATAATTTTAAAAGATTTATTAATTAGGATTAATTATTTTATTTTATTTTTCAATGATTTATTTTATTTTATTAAGTGCTAGATTAATTATCTTATTTTAATTAAGTTATATTTCGTGATTATGTATAATGATTGATTGTTTGTGTGGTTGATTATTGATTGAATTATTGGTGTGTTGTTTTTATTGGTATTATATGACTTAGTTGTAAATTCTTGTTTGTTTATGTGCTTCATGTAATTAGTTATTTTAATTTCTGTATTTAATTAATTATCTTATTTATTTAAATTAATTGGATTGGGCTTAAGGAAAGTTGGACCAAAAGATGTGGTCTTGGGCTTGTATGAAACCTTATTGGGTTAATTAATGAAGGTCCGTGGTTATTTAATTATTTAAATGATCACTTTTGTATCAATTATATTTATATATATATATATATATAAAAATATATAATTATATATAAATATAATTAATTAATAATTGTTATGGAAAGATATATATATAGATATATATTTATTGATATTTATAAGTATATATGATTTAATTAACTAATGAGTTAATTATGGAAGGAATATATATTTATATATATATATATGTTTATAGATATAAATTATTTAAAGATTATTATTTTAATTCATAATACTAGTTGGAATAGGATTTGGAATTTAAGGTGTATAAAAATACACATAAGGCTTTAGGGTTAAAGGTTTTACACGTTAGAAAAATAAAACAGACAGACAGAGAGGAAGAAGAAGGGCTGACAAGGAGGAGGTCGGATCTGAAAAGGAGGACGTCGGAATTGGAAGAGATAATTAAAGCTTAAAGCGTCAGTTTCGTTTCGAAACCTTCAGGCGAGTTTTCTCTAACTTTCCTCTTAGAACTCATAAGGATTTCACCTTGAGTATCAAGGCTTTAATTAAATTTATTTGTTTAAAAATTATGGTTAGATCGGAATAATTAAAAAGTATAAACTATTATATTTGATTTTTAGATTATTGAATTTTAATTGATATATATAGGTGTTATGTATATTTTAAAATCAATCTATAGGTGGATTTGTGACCCAAGAGAGTTAATTATGGTTTCTTTATTTTCTAGAATTGTTCTGTAATTTTCTGGAATTTTTCTGATATTTTTAGGAATTTATTAGGATTTATTTTCCTATTATTTGTTAGGAAAATAATTATATATATATATATATATATACTAGGTAACTGGCGCATGTGGAGCGGCGGCACAATAAAGAATTGATCCAGTGCGGCGCGGTGTAGGATAATAGGGTGTATACGCCAATTAGGGCCATTTGATTAATTAAACTTATGTGAATTGATATGGTGCATCGCGGCGCATAAAACTTTGGTGCGCATGTGTATCTAGACCATAGAAGTGGTCTGGTCAACTATGGGATTATTTGGTGTATTGCAGACCATGAGAAGATGGTACACTCGCTGATCTGGACCTTAGATCTATTATAGTTAATAGAAAATAATCTAGTGTGAGCGTGTTCATTTGCGCACTCATTTATGACCATTGGATGCGGCATAAAGGAAGTGATGGATTCAGTGTGGTGAGCTCACGGTAGCTGAAAGAGCTTAGCCAATACCAGCACACAAGGAGGCTTGAATCCAGCGCGTGCAAGTGCATAGTAAGCACGTGGGCGCGCGTGGGAAACTATGTTGGCCTAATTCGACACTAGAAATTAAAACGGTCATAACTTAGTCATTTTAAATCGAAATTGGGTCATTCTTGAGCTCAAATTCAAGGATTTTTCGTCTTCTTTCCAATGGTACCAATTTCATTATCAGATTCTTATCCTAATAAGAGATATTTACGTTTTAGTGAGACGGTGTCGAAAAACTATTTAAACCGGTATGGAGTATTTAAAGGAAACTATTTCTGACATATTTAGTTGTACTAATTTGTGTAAATATAATAAATTAATAATTTGTTATGGAAGGAAGTGTATATATATATATATATATATATATATATATATATATAATTATTTATATATGGGTATATGTAGTTTGTCTATGAGTTGTATGGAAGGATGAATATATATATATATGTATGTATGTATGTATATTGATTTTAAATAATCAAGGATTATTAAAGAAGGTGTTAAACACATATATACATTAAATAACATATGTGTAGGTATATATATATATAAATCATTTAAGATGATTAATATTATCATTCTTATTTGGCATATCTTAATAGGCTGGTTGTTAAATTAATGATATGCGTATAATATGCATGTGATGGCTATGTATGATTTAGCGTATTGTTACTTTTAAAGTTAATTCATGGTTAAAGTGTGGGCATGGATGAATTGTCAAATGATTAAATATATTACCTAAATATTTGTATGAATAGAATACATATATGGAAAGCATGGATGAATTGCTAATTAAATGTATGAATAAATATACCTGTGGAGGCATGGTTGAATTGCCAATGTATAAATATATATACACGGAGGCATGGTTGAATTGCCAATGTATAAATAAATATACTTATGGAGGCATGGTTGAATTGCCAATATATAAATAAAAATATTTACAATGGCATGGTTGATTTGCCAAAGTATAATTACGTTGTTATGTGTTAGATGATTAAAATATCATCTATGGTTGTTGTATGTATGGATTGGATTAAGGTTAGATATTCTTAAATGAGAATAGTTTAGTACTTACTGGTTAGTGTATTATTTTACATTAAT